AATTATTATTATTATTATTATTATTATATTAATAATTATAATTATAATTATAATTATAATAATAATTATTACAATAATTATAATAATAATAACAATAATAATAATAATAATTATTATTATTATTCATTCAAAAAAATATTTTTTAATTCACAACATTTCCATGCACAACTAAACACAGTAATGTAATATTCTTAGGAATTTGAGAAAAATTTTTATATGAAACTAAACACAATAATGTATTATTCTTAAGAATCATATTACTCTCCATCACTTTTTTAAGAATATAATTTTTTATAATTATCCCATACCAAACATCCCCCTTAGAAAGATGTTATTCACTTTCCTAGGAAAGTTAAATATCACGGGGAAAAAAAAGCCCTAACCTCTCTCTCTCTCTCACATTCACATCTCTCTCAGATTGTCACCCATCTCTTCCCAGCCAGCCTCTTCTCTCTCATCTAGTCTGGCACCGCTCGACCACGCCGCTGCTGCTTTCCATTCAGCCACGCCATCGCCGGACTTTTTTGTGCCGCCACCACCAGGGTATGTTATTTTCTTGTTATTTTCTTCTTTTCTTCTTGTTGAATCTGCATCAGCCTGGGTTTTTTTTTATCCCCAAATTTAGAGATCTCGGTGAAGATGAGAAATTTGTCTTGTTTAGGACAGAAGCACGTCTTTTTTAAAGAGAAATTTCTCGACCTGATCACCTTTTAGATATTTCTTTCAACGCAGAGCACCTTTTGGATAATGGACTTTCTTTCAAAATCCTCATTAATGGATATTCTTTTTGAAAGCAACGCAGATCACCTTTTGGTTTAGAGCAGGAAAAAAAAAGAAAATCAGTATGCTTATGAATCTATTAATGATGACCATTGCCTTTGGTTGAATATATTTCTTGTTGAATCCGTTATATACATGGCAGAATTTTTTCTTTTTAATCAGTATGCTTATTTCTTTTTTCTCATCGATGAGCAGATATGGATCTTCTATTGAAACAAAAAAAAAAAAAAGAATTGTTGCTATTTTGGTTCAATAAATGGAGATGTTAAATGAAATGGCATTTTTGTTCATTCTTATGATATTTGTAATTATTAGTAAGAGACGTTTGCGTAGAAATAGATGAGGTGAAAGTTCTTATCACCGACATCATATACGCCAATTAAATTACCATCGATTGATACAAGAAAGGGACTTAACATGTCTTGAAAGCACTCGTATGGATAGGAGAACATTTGCTATCCTATGTAACTACCTTAGACTCATTGGCAATTTGAGGGGAACAAAAATATGGATGTTGAAGAAATGACTATTGATCCTTATGAAGAAGAAGCTAGGGAAATGTTTGACCAATGGCGGAGAAATCGCCATTGATATGGTTTGTGTATGACATTATTGTTGTGATTCATAATAAATATGAATGCCATTGTTGTTGTGATTTATAATAAATATGTATGATATTGTTGTTGTGATTCTTAATAAAAATATATGGGCTAAATATTTAAAAAATATTTTATACTTTTTAACACATTAGTGTTAATTGTAATTCATTTAAAAAATATGTTTTTTTTTTTAATTCACAACATTTCCATGCACAACCAAACATGATAATGTAATATTCTTGAGAATTTGAGAAAAATTTATGTATGGAACCAAACACAGTATTGTATTATTCTTGGGAATCATATTACCCTCCATCACTTTTTCAGGAATATGATTCTTACTGATGACTGCGTACCAAACGCTCTCTTAATAATTCATGATAATTCTTGTTGCTGTCCTTACATGAAAAAAAAAACCTGAAAAAATGAAGGAAAAATAATGTACACGACAAGGTGGTAGAATGAACAAGTTGATGGTGATTTAAATACACCGTGTTTAGTTAATACTGACTTTACATGAACATAGTTCTCAGTTAAGCCATAATCGTCATTTTTTTTAAAGGAAATAATCTTGATATTAAAAAACCAAATTGACAAGCACTGAGGGTGCTACAAATCAAGGGATCATATGTACCCTAACTAGGTCTCGAGTACACTAGGAATAAAAAGAAGCTAATACATAAATAACTTTTTTACCACTTCTATTAACAATTAACATGAGAACACTCCCACCTCTCTATAGAAGACAATAACCGAATGATATCCTATATAATAACACCTTCCTGACGTTGAGTTAATCTCTCCTTAACCGCTTGGACTACACGGAGTGCATCTAATTCGGCGACACCGATTGAGAAACCCTGCTCTTGTGCAAAAATCAAGCCTTCCCGGAGTGAATCTTTCAACAAATTGTTACAATTACTAAATACTCGAGTCAAATTGAGCTAAATGACAAGATTTTTGTAACACCTCGAGAAATTAAATGAGATTAATTAAAGTAATTAAGATTTATTAGTGTGTCTAATCTAGTTTAATTAACTAATTATTGATTAATAAATATTTTTAACGTGTAAATTTAAATATTTCTAAGGAATTTAAAATTATAATGAACTATTTCAGAAAGTTTAATGAATGATTTCTTAAGGTAAGAGATCTTGCGAACCGGTAAACTTGCTGATGGCCTAGATAGAATATAGAGAGTGTATCCTTGGGGGCAGGACCCGAAACCCAGACCGGGCCATTGCGGTGGTGTTAAGCCCTGTGCGCTTGTGGTTGTGTAAGTAATTTATCAGAGAATAAATTACTTGCTTATTCCTGTAATCTGGAATTTTGAGTTTACATTTCCTTTTGAAAAAGGATGTGAGGTTCCGGCTGTTGTGTTGGAACTGAATATCTTTATTTACTTATTTATTTATTCATTTACTTGCTTACTCATTTATTTACTTGTTTATAAAAGTTATTTCAAAATATATCCTACTGGGCTTTTCGCTCACATTTTATTTGTTTTATAAATATTAAACCCCTCCCAGGCGATGCTAGGAGCAGTGCGAAGTAGCTGAGTTAGTTGCTACTGTCCGATTAAGAGAGGATTGTGTTCATCATCCTTGTGCATAAATGTAAGAATTATAAATTATGTAAACTCTAAACTTTAGATTTCTAGACTGTGGTTGATGTCTGTAATGTTATTTACATGTTCATGTATGTACAATACTGTACATCCTGTGGGTGAAGCCCTGAACAATGCCGGATGTTTAGTTTTAAAACTTGTTTTTCAGAAAGTGTGCGAGTCCCCATCACTTTCTTGTAATTTAATTTTAACAAAAATATGGGACTTATTTAGAAATTTCCTTAATATTTTACTTTTGGTTTTGATTATTATACATCTAAATGTTTAATTACTTTCCTAATTATGTTTAACTTCTAAATGAGCTTCCACGTCACTAACTCCTGTTTCGGGGCATGAGAATTCCAAAAACACTTTTTTTTTTTTGTAGATAAAGATTCTGAAAACTCATATTGCTAGCATGGTGACAA